AGCCCCAGCTCCACCCCTTGGCTGCTCCACTCCAGCCCTATGCCCTGCCTGCCTTGAACCCCTGGCGCTTACCCTTGGTTGGCCTCCCGACCGCACCTCCGCTTCTGCCGTCCAGCTCTGCTTTGATCACTAGGCTAGACTCTTGCTTTGACCACAAGGTTGCACCACCTACACCTCGGTGTGGGACATCCAGCCCCAGAAGTGGGGAGTGGGGTCTGGGTAAGGGAAGCCTCCCTAAGTGTTAGCTGAGACAGAGGGGTGTGAACGGTTGGGTGGGTTAGATCCCTTTGCTTCTTAGGCTTTGGGCCCCTCCGTTGAGATGAATGGAGCGGTGTTTGGAAAAGGCTGGTGTCTGTTCCTGTATTCACACACTGGCCTCAGCTCCCAGTGGTGAGCATGGCAGGGCCAGGCCCCGTCCCAGCTGCAGGAGGAATCGCCGCTGGGACTATAGCTATTTCCCTGGTCTGTGACTGGGCGCATGGGGAGATTCTTCCTCAGGGGTGTGAAGGCTGGAGGCCTAAATCTTGGGAACAGAGACATAGAGGAGGCCAAGGTGCAGCTGGCGCTGAGCTGTGACGTCATCCTGGGTGGCGACGCCTTCGTGTCCATCTGCAGGGAGAAGAGCCGTGAAGACCGTCCTGTCCTAGCTGAGAATCATGAACTTCAGAAACACGAAACTCAGGCTGAGGGATCTCCTGGAAATCAGTCCAGACAGCATGAAGGACTCGACTCCTTATACCTGGGGAGACTTGCCTAGGCACTTCCTGCGAAAGCTCATGTAAGAAACACCCAAAATAGGAAAATCTATTTTTTTCACCTGCTTTTGAAAAGGAAAACCAGTGGAAATTCCAACTGAAGGCTGGAGGGGCCGGCTTGGAGCACCGGAACCAGAGCCGGGTTATTTATTGACTGATGTTGATGGGGTCAGGGTTGGATTCTGATCTCAGTGATCCCACTGTAAACCAATTTCTATGTCCTCCTGAAATCTAGCTACATGTTGTACGTTCTATCTATCTATTTCCTTGCATACAGAGCTTCCCAATGCTCTGGGCTGGAACGGACTCTTGCCCAGGGATGGGGGGTGATGGTTCTTTCCTCACTACATGCGCCCTGCAGCAGGGGCTCCGGATCTAAACGCCCTGCCCCACCGCTTCTCCCTACCGTGGGGCATTGTTTCCTGTCACATTCTGAGCCGCCTTCAGTCCAAACCAGGCCCCTCCCTTCCTGGCCACATCTTCCTGAAACTTAAGACTGTAACTCATTTGTATGTGTCTATATTTACCTGCTTTAACTGTGTCGTTAACTCTTATTTAATAAGAGATAAATAGATAATTTGAGATAGTTTATTACAGGATTGGTTTGAAATACAAACAGTACAGAGCCAACATTCATAACTTCAACTACAAAAATAATACACATATACAGATAGCATAATTATAACCAGCCAATCATAACCTTCCCATAGAGACCTCACATGACAACCTTTGTACAATATTTGCTGCAAATATATAACAGTAGTTGCACCAGTGATCTATATGGTTACAGATTCTGTCAATAACGTCACAGTGACCAGTTAGATCGGAGTTCCCGAGGGGACTGTCTGGGACTCCATGTTAAGGCTGTTACAGTGGCTGAGGAGCTTACACTTAGCACTTGATTGTGAGTCCTATGCTTAGATTTTACCAATCAAATGGATGACTAGTGAACCACCCCCCCCCCCTTTGGGGAGGCTAGCCTGCTTCCTCCCACTCCTTCTGCCCGAGGCCCTGCCCTCCCCCCGCTGGAGCCCCAAGAATAAACTGAAAAATGTTGGAAGGGGGATTTGGGGGTTTTCTAATGTCCCTCCTCCATTTGTATCATTTTTCAAATCAGTGGGAAATGAGCGGGGGGAAAACCAAAATTGTCCACTCCACACACTTGTTCAGGTGGGAAGAAAATGTGAAAAAACCCCAAATGCAAAATATGACAATCAAGTTCCCACCCAGTTTTTGAAAATGAAAACCAAATGAAACTTGCAACGGAGAGATGCAGGGGCCGGCTCGGAGCTCATCCACCCCCTCTCTATCTATCTATCTATCTATCTATCTATAAGCAGAGTCAGAATGAGCTCTACCCTGACATCTGGTGGTGAGCTGTGGAAAATAACTTCAGGGACTGATCTAGTTTGCATGGGCACACCCACCCTGCTTGCCCAAATGGTCACTTTGGCTGCTGTGGGACCCCCCAGTCTCTTTGCTATTGGGGCAGGAGTACTAAAGTGTTATTATCCTGGTTATGTGAATCAAGGACAGTAGAACTGTACTTGACATTTTATGATGGAGGAACTCGCCCTCAACCAAGTAGTACTCGCTAGGCAAGGGACATGGGTTCCAAAGCCCTGTGAATTGAGATAGTCTGGGGGATAGATGTGGGTCCCTTCTAGGGCATGAAACAAAACTTTGATTTCTTCTCTCCCTCTTCCTCCATATAATAATAGCAGAGTTAATTTTGATTCTGTTAGGAGTCTTGTTATGTACTGCAGAACTGAGATTACTGCTTTCTAGGTCTAAGCATTGGTCCTACTTTGGGCTTGTGGTTCTGAGTGTGCCAGCACTGAGGCTCCCCTACTAACAGCTGAAATCACAGCAAGCTGTGTTAAGTGGAGGGGGAGTCTGAAGACATGTTGGTGAGGGGCTGGTGGAGAGGAGTGGCTGGCGGTGAACACTGCAGCAGAACCCCATGGAGAGGCGTGGCAATCGGCCATGGACCTGAGCAGTGGAGCATGTAACGTGCCGCCATACCTCCACCCTCTTCCACTCAGGCTGGGAGCTAAACACTGCAGATGAAGTTCTGAACTCTGGAACTGCACTGACCAAGGACAGAAACTGTGGGTGGGGTGACTGTTGGGCTGCTGGACTTAAGACTCTCAGGGGAAAAGGACACTTCCAAACTTACTTGGGGGTAGGTCTTTTGCTCATGGTTGATGTTATGAATCCTGTCTGTGGTGTTTCCCCAACATAATGCCACATTATTTCCCTCCTTTATTAAAAGGCTTTTGCTACACTCAGACTCCGTGCTTGTGAGAGGGGAAGTGTTGCCACCATCCTCCTGATCAGGACAAGGCCCCCCGCTCCGACCTTGACCACCAAACTTGGGCTGATGCCCGCCACAACACCCGCACCCACCACAGCCAGGACACTCCCTCCAATGTACAGGCCCAACCGCACAGCCTTCTCTTTAAAGCGCTGTCCGTAGGCCGTTAGGAACTTGGCTGGGGGGGGGGAGCGGGTGGCTCAGTGGTTGGATGTCTTCCTGGCCAGCCCCTGCTCCAGCACCTTCAGGGCAGCCTGTTTCTGGGTGTCCTCGCCCCACAGCTGCCCCTGGCAATGCTTCAGCAGCTCCCTGCGTTTCCCCTCCAGCCGTCTCTTCATCTCCTCAGGCTTCACCCTCAGGCAGCAGTTTATACTCTGGTGGCCACGGTCCTGCCCGAAGCGGGGAGAGATGGGCCATTAGGGATGGGTATTAGTGTTACCCAGCCACGGGGGGTGCCGCTGACTCATACACCCGCAGCCCCCTCCAACCCACAGACCCCTGCTATCCCAGCCCTGCTCCCCCGAGCTCTGCCGGTGCCCCTCACTCCCGACTCCCAGCCCCTCTGCGCTCACTAGCTCCTGCACAAATTGTTCATATTCTCTCCTGGCGGCTTCTACTGCTTTGCTGTTTTTCTCCTTTCTCATCGCTGCAAATGCTTCAGCCATCTGTGGGGGGAGAGGGGACAGGGTGGGGGTTGGGATGGGACCATCTCTGAACTAGGAGCCCCCTTCACCACCTTCTCCCCCCATTCTTCCAGGACCCTGCTCCCCGCTTTCACCTCCCCACTGGCCCCTGACCCCCCACATTCCCTCAGAGCCAGGAGGCAGCCCCCCAATGACTCCACAGCTATGGCCATGTTGCTGCCACCCTAGTAGAGAGGGCCAGTTCTCTGGTGCAGCTCCCTGGGGGTCCCTTTACTTCTTGGGAGCTGGGGGTCCCCGATCAGGACAGTTGGGGCAGCTGTTGTGGTGCCCCCCCCCTCCTGGCCTAGTGCGATTGGCCAAAGGGAGGAGGACCTGGGGTGAGGGGTCAATAGAACTAGTGCCCCCCTCCCCTGCAAATCAGAGAAGTTGAGGGAGGGGCAACCTGGTACCTTCAGAGGGGAGGAGAAGTCGTAGCGTTGGGTCTTCAAGTATCGGGAGACGTGCTGTGGGGAATAACGCCCGGGGGAACTGGGATCAAGGACAGCTCAGCCCACTCCTTGGTGAGCCCCCTGCCTCACTCCCTGCAGCCCAGCGCCCCCTGCTGAGCCCCCCGCCCCACTCCCTGCAGCCCAGCGCCCCCTGCTGAGTCCCCCGCCCCACTCCCTGCTGAGTCCCCCGCCCCACTCTCTGCAGCACGGTGCCACCTGCTGATCACCTGGCCCCCGCTTTTCAGCCCCTTTTGCTGTCTTTCCTCCAGGCCCCCCTCCCCTTTAGCAGACCCCACTCTCTCACCTTGATCCTGGCAGCCAGCTGAGCCCCCGTCAGCACCAGCCCGGCTCGGTCCATCCGGACGTGTGTCCCTGCTGAGCGCACCACGGTGCTGATGTAGTCACACAGGGACTGCCGGAAATCCTCGTCCATGTCTGCAGGGGGAAAAGGACTCAGGCATCCGGGAGGGATCCAGGTGCCCAGGACAGGGCACAAGTTAAATGGGGGATGTAGGGGGCAGGTTTGTGCCACAGTAAATGAGATTCCATCTCTGGGCAACAGCTGCTTAGCTCCCTCCCACGCCCCACTGCCAGGGGGAAAATGGGGGAGCAGTGGGGGTGGGGGTGAGTAGCAGGGAGAGGCTGCAGTGTGTGTGGGGGGG